CCCGCCCCCCCCCGCCCCCCCGCACTGTGATTCTGACCCTAATTTGGACCGTCTCTGACAACTGCCAGCCTCAATACAGGACTTCCTCCATCCTGGGTGAAATATAACTCTGTCCCTGACGGCCCCAGCGACTGAGCCCTTCTCAAAGCCAACACTGACCCTTGATCTCACCCAGATGGAGGGACTGCAGAGTCACCTGTGTGACCCGCCATCTACAGGAGAGTGACAGGCCCCCTCCACTGCTGGGTGCCTTCCTCCACTTAAAGGTCAGCTGAAGGGGGCCTCCACGCCTGGGCGCCAGCTCAGACCTCTAAATCCACATCTTCCCTGGGACCCTAGCACCGCCCAGCACAGGGCCAGGCCCAGAGGGTTGAGTGAATCAATGTGAAAGAATTACAGGATGAGGATAACGTTGGACGGGGTAAACCTGAAGAAGCCCCCAGTCTGGAGCAGGCAGAGCAGCCACCACACACCCCTCCAGCCGCGTGGGGGTTAGGATGTCAGGAAGCCTTCCCAGAGAGGGGACATTTACTGGGCCTTGAAGCTGGAGTAGCAGTTTGCCACGGGGAGAAGAGTTTTCCAAGAGGGAACAGCCCTTGTCAATGTGCAGAGGAAGCGTACAGTGGTTTTTGGTAGAGACAAGGAAGATGAAGCCAGAGCAAGAGTAGATGGGAGTGGGAGCCCAAGGAGAGGCTGAGAGAGGGAGAGGAGGTGGTCAATTTAGGGCAAATGAAGTGGGGTGCAGGTGGGTTACATGGCTGCCTGGTGTCCACCTTCTCAGAAGACAACAGGAGATGGCTGCACCCCTGGACTCGGGGGTGAGCATGTGGAGATATTATGTGGAGGACACTAAGGCTGGGAACAGGCTTGTGCTTCTTCCCATGCCTCAGTTTGCCCATCTGTGATATGAGAATTTTGGACCCCTAACCTGGGCACATATTCCTCTTTGGACATAAAATCTAGGGCTCACACTGTGTCATCATAAGGTAGGAGTCGAAGGTCCTGCTCCCTACCCCTGCCACCACTGCCCCTCAGTGTCCAATGCCAGACACTCAGGTGTTCCAAGGACACACCAGGGCCCAGGCCAGTCTGGGGGCTTCTGCCTCAACTCCAAGGTGCAGAACAAGGCTTGGGGAGCGTGGAAGTGGCTGGGGAGCCCCAGGCCCCCCGAGGGCCACTCTGTTTACCTGCTGCGGCCTGCCATCTCTGATGCAACAGGCAGGCTCTGGTTACATAAGGGCAGCAGCTGGAGCAGCTCTGGGAGCAGCTGGGGCATGGCAGGAAGGGCGGGCCGAGCTGCGTTGGCTGGGGCTGCCCCTGCACCCCCACCTACCCTCTCCCGCCATTGAGGCTCCCTCCTGTGTTCCTGGCCCCATTTCATCTTCTATCACTCACACCCTATTTTCTATAACGGCCCTTCCTTTTTTCCCGTGCCCCTGTTCCTATCCTATACTCTCCCACCACTGGCTGTGTCACTTTGTGGTCCCCCGTTCCCCATTGGTTATACATATTGGTTATATATATATATATTGGTTTCAGAGAGGAAGGGAGAGGGAGAAAGATAGAAACATCAATGATGAGAGAGAATCATTGACCAGCTGCCTCCTGCACAGCCCCTACTAGGGATCGAGCCTGTAAACTGGGCAAGTACCCTTGACCAGAATCGAACCTGGGACCCTTCAGTCCACAGGCCGGTGCTCTATCCACTGAGCCAAACCAGCCAGGGTGGGACAGTCAAAATTTTTGATCTCAGTCTTTTCAGATGAGGGGACACCTTAGTTGCGGGAGTGAGATGCTGGAGGGTAGAGGGGTGGGCTGGGGGTGGAACGGGGTGGAAAGGGCCAGAGATGAGGGATCTGAGAAGGGGGCCTGAAGATGGGGGAGACAGGGGTGGGAGGATGGTGAGGTGGAAAAGCCGCTTCCCCCAAGTCCCTTTTTCCAGATCCTCTCCCACATGTCAGCAGGGAAAGGCTGTGAAGGACTCTCCATGGCAAGGACAGTGTGGTCCGGCAGACAGAACCTCAGGTCAAAGAACCCTGGTCCCCATCCCAGCTCCACTGTGACTTCAAGTCAGTCACTTCACCCTTTTGAGCTTGTTTGTTTGTATGAAAAGTGGGGACAATAGCAGCCCCTCCTTCTTGGGGAGAACCTTTTAAGGCTTACCTTCCCACTCCTCCAAAGCTTTCTATATCCCCCCTCCCATTTGGGATTCTTCCACGCCCATTCCTCCTTCCAGTCCAGTGCTGACTCAGCATTTTTGGGGTGCATGTCTAGCTGTCTCACCAGCCTAGGGGTTCCTCGGGGCCAGGCCCAGGATGTAACAGCACCAAAGGGTGTCTCCATAGGTTTCTTACACCACTGGAGAGCCGGGAGAAGGTATGAGTGGTGGAGGGGCATGGGGACCAAGTTTGGGACATCCAGAGGCCTCACTGAGGGATATGACAAGGCTAGGAAGGGACTTCCCAAGGGCAGGACCCTTCAGAGCAGGGCTGGAAAAAAAGCATGATTTGGACCAGGCGATAAGGACTAAAAGCCAAACTCAAGTCTGATTCCCGCCTTGACCACTGCAGACCAACCTGGGGCATTGCTGCCTTCCTGGGCCTTTTATCCCACCTGCAGATCTGAAGGAGCCTCGATGGGGCGGGAGTGGGCTGGGATCCCTTCCATCACCCCCATGGGTGCTAGACTCCTGCCCCAAGGCACGGGGAGCTCACTGCCTCTCCCCCGGCTTCCACCTATCTCTGGGGCTCTGCTAGAAGCAAGTCCTACTGAGCAGCAAGGCCATACCAGGAGGAGGGAGATCAGGAGCGCATGGGGGCACATGCGGATCCTGCTGAGTAGTCCAGCCTCAGGGAGCCTCAGCTCGCTCTCTGAAAAATGGAATCAAGGACATACGGGGTAAAAAGGGGTAAGGGTCACAATGCCCCACTGCGATCAGCCAGGAATGAAGACAATGACCTTTTAGAGGCCCAGCGCCCAGCCAAACCTTTGCCTCTTGCGCCCCCTGGCGGCCAGCTGTTGAGGGGCGTTTGTGGGTGTGAAGGGCGAAGTGGCCATGTAAATAAGATGCAAATTACCAGCACCCACTCCTTCCTGTGGGCCTTTGGACTCCGTGTGAGGGATCTGACAGTCCAGAATCGTCTCTGGCTAAGGTTGTGTCCTGGGGCTGTGGGTGGCGGGGAACCCTGGAAAGGTCTGGGGCACCCCACAGCTGTTTCCTACTACCTCACAGCGCCCTTGGGGTATGTGTAGTTACCCCACTTAGCAGCCTTTCTTGCTGGCGTGTCTTGCTCACCAGGGCATCCCCTGGGCCGGCAGGGCCTGGCGCACAGAGGACAGTCAATATTTGCTGGACAAATGATTGCATGGTGGACAGGTAGAAGGAGGGACGGACAATTACAGGTACTTTCAGAGCAGGCAAGAAGAGTGATGCTGTGGGGACCACACACTAGTCAGGGCCTCAATGGGTTGGACCTGAGGTCCTTCCTTCCCCTCAAACTGAGCTGGGGTGGTGGGGAGGCAGAATAGCAGCATGGAGGCCCCCTAATACACTCCAGGAGGGGAGAGAGGACTGACTTGACACCTCCTGTGTCCTTGAGCCCTCTCCCAGGCCCTCAGGCTCCTCCACAGCCTGGACACCACACCGGGACCCTGTTTCTTCCCTAGGTTGCCCCTGGCCCTTGCCACCCTTCTCTCCCAACCACCCACAGTGCCAAGGAGAATGTGGAGGGTCCTCCCAGAGCAGTGGGCCTGATGTATCTTCCCGATACGTTTCGCTGGACACAGTGTTGACACAGCTGGCCTCGGAGGTGTACAGACTGTGGGTCATGACCTCCTAAGCCTAGAATTGGAAGAGATCAGTATGGGCTCTTCTGCAGTTAGCAGAAAGACTCAAAGCAATTTTGGCAAATACAGTAATTGAGGGTACAGCTGGACACGGTCAGGTACAGCTGGACTCAGAGTCCCAGGGTGACTTCTCCATCTGGCCTACGCCCGGGGTGGGTGTTTCTGCTTGAGGCAGAATCCGGCCAGGCAAGCAAGTACACGAATGTCCACCTCAGCTGTAGAAAAGGTCCAGTCCAGCCTTCCTTGTCCAGATGGAGAAAGGGAGGACGAGAGAGGGTCAGTTCTAGGCCCCGTGTCACACAGCATGTCAGAGGCCAGGCTGGGACGAAACCAGGCAGGGGTCTGGTCTCCTTTAGCTGTGTGACCTTGCCCAAGTCACACCACCTCTGCATTTATTTTCCCATCTGTATCTGAGGGTGACACCTACCTATGGGCTGAGGATGAGAGATGACCATGGCAGAGCCCCCAGCACAGTGTAATCTATGGGGATTAACACCGTGGCAGTTATTGGTCCAAGGAATCATGCTGATGCGGGGTAGGAATCCCCGGGCAGCAAAGGGGACATTACGGCTGGCCTGGGGGTTACAGGCAGGAGCGGGAAAACTGCCACCTCTGTCACCTGATGAGTCACTTCCAAGAAGGAAAAGCAGAGACCAGAGAGGGGGAGTGACTTGCTCAGGGTCACACAGCAGGTCAGTGGTGGAGCGAGGAGTCCAGAGTTGGGTGGTAATCGCCATGCCGGGCTCTGTCTGAGAGAAGGTACGTGAGTAAGGCAAGCAGCTGGCATGCGGCAGGCAGGGAAATATGGATCCACTCTATTCAGGAGGAGTCCCTGGGATCAGGAGAGGGCCTATGACCTGAACAAGGGCAAGAAGATGGCAGAGGGAGCACGAGGGAGATGGGCTGACAATGACCCTGAGCAGCAGAGGCCCTAGGTCTCCCTCACCCTGCACACTCCCCCCTCCCCCCGGCTGACCAAACCACCCTACAAGCCCAAGTGGTTAGATGGTAAATCCCTGCTTGGACAACAAAAGGGTGGGTTAGTTCAGAGCATGGAATGCAGGAAGGCTCCTGGCCCCACTCAGCACTGACCTGGTTGGAGGGGCCAAAGCACCTCC